TATAAAACTGCAATTAAAATACAACCCTTGGTGCTTTGGATACTTCCATCGGTTACACAGTGATTTTCAAACCTATACAGTGCCTTGCGAAAGTATTCGGCCCCCTTGAACTTTGCGACCTTTTGCCACATTTCAGGCTTCAAACATAAAGATATAAAACTGTAATTTTTTTGTGAAGAATCAACAACAAGTGGGACACAATCATGAAGTGGAACGAAATTTATTGGATATTTCAAACTTTTTTAACAAATAAAAAACTGAATAATTGGGCGTGCAAAATTATTCAGCCCCTTTACTTTCAGTGCAGCAAACTCTCTCCAGAAGTTCAGTGAGGATCTCTGAATGATCCAATGTTGACCTAAATGACTAATGATGATAAATAGAATCCACCTGTGTGTAATCAAGTCTCCGTATAAATGCACCTGCACTGTGATAGTCTCAGAGGTCTGTTTAAAGCGCAGAGAGCATCATGAAGAACAAGGAACACACCAGGCAGGTCCGAGATACTGTTGTGGAGAAGTTTAAAGCCGGATTTGGATACAAAAAGATTTCCCAAGCTTTAAACATCCCAAGGAGCACTGTGCAAGTGATAATATTGAAATGGAAGGAGTATCAGACCACTGCAAATCTACCAAGACCTGGCCGTCCCTCTAAACTTTCAGCTCATACAAGGAGAAGACTGATCAGAGATGCAGCCAAGAGGCCCATGATCACTCTGGATGAACTGCAGAGATCTACAGCTGAGGTGGGAGACTCTGTCCATAGGACAACAATCAGTCGTATACTGCACAAATCTGGCCTTTATGGAAGAGTGGCAAGAAGAAAGCCATTTCTTAAAGATATCCATAAAAAGTGTCGTTTAAAGTTTGCCACAAGCCACCTGGGAGACACACCAAACATGTGGAAGAAGGTGCTCTGGTCAGATGAAACCAAAATCGAACTTTTTGGCAACAATGCAAAACGTTATGTTTGGCGTAAAAGCAACACAGCTCATCACCCTGAACACACCATCCCCACTGTCAAACATGGTGGTGGCAGCATCATGGTTTGGGCCTGCTTTTCTTCAGCAGGGACCGGGAAGATGGTTAAAATTGATGGGAAGATGGATGGAGCCAAATACAGGACCATTCTGGAAGGAAACCTGATGGAGTCTGCAAAAGACCTGAGACTGGGACGGAGATTTGTCTTCCAACAAGACAATGATCCAAAACATAAAGCAAAATCTACAATGGAATGGTTCACAAATAAACATATCCAGGTGTTAGAATGGCCAAGTCAAAGTCCAGACCTGAATCCAATCGAGAATCTGTGGAAAGAACTGAAAACTGCTGTTCACAAACGCTCTCCATCCAATCTCACTGAGCTCGAGCTGTTTTGCAAGGCGGAATGGGCAAAAATTTCAGTCTCTTGATGTGCAAAACTGTTAGAGACATACCCCAAGCGACTTACAGCTGTAATCGCAGCAAAAGGTGGCGCTACAAAGTATTAACTTAAGGGGGCTGAATAATTTTGCACGCCCAATTTTTCAGTTTTTTTATTTGTTAAAAAAGTTTGACATATCCAATAAATTTCGTTCCACTTCATGGTTGTGTCCCACTTGTTGTTGATTCTTCACAAAAAATTACAGTTTTATATCTTTATGTTTGAAGCCTGAAATGTGGCAAAAGGTCGCAAAGTTCAAGGGGGCCGAATACTTTCGCAAGGCACTGTACTTTATTTTTTTGGTTTCCAATATGATGCACCATGTAACAAATGATTCTGGCGAATGTAGCTCTAGCGCTGTAAGGCCGTGCTGTAGCCTCCAGGATTACACTACTGTGAGGTGTTAGGTTCTGCTTGTCCATGTCAAAAGACAAAATCACAGTTAAAATGAAGGCCAGTTCAGTGTAACCTTTGATTTTCAAAGACTGTGTGATGTGCTTTCATTCTTGTCTCTGCCCTTGATGTTTGATGATACAGTTCTGCCAGATGGTGCAAGCTCTTGATTATTCCTAGTTTGTATTCCAGTCAGTGGCATATTCTGACCACTGTTCTGTTTCTCACCACTGCTTTTACGCCTCACTTGAGACTTTTTCAACTATTTAAAACCCAGCCAACAGGACTGATTTAAACTTTGTCAGTCAACTCTTTTGGCATAATTTATGGCCATATATCACAGAATAAACTGAGAGTCCAGACTCAGAGGCAGGGCTGCAGACAGGGTATGGTATGTCAGAAACACCCAGTGTGGACTTGCTACCATTTAGTCCCTGTCAAACTGTGTGCATACAATTCATCAGAGAGAGACAGAGAGGGATGCTATGTGTTTTAGCACCAAATAGTTGTTACAAATAAAGGAGGATATGTACAAGCATTCATCAGATTGCTATTAAGAGTGTGATTCATTTAGTCACTTTTGGCTTCAACTCCATGGTCAAAATAAAAGTTGCTGTACTAAGTTAAAAACTTAAAAAGAAAAAAGTTTGAGATGATAGGCCAATAATGAAAATTAAGACTGAGCCATACTGCCTTACCCATACAATCATTAGTTTGCTTATGTCCTTTATTCATTTATATCTGTAACAATCACTTGACTGATGATCTGAAAGACACACAAACACACACTGACTTTAACCTCAGTCTGTTAGGCATCGCCAGCCCACGGCTTGACAGTTGTTAGCATCCGACTCCAAAATTGACAGAAAGAAGAAGAAGATTTAGGGACTGTGGTGGGAGAGAATAGACGAGCCATCATCTGCTGGGTTGGTGTTGACAAATGAGCTCCGTAACGCGGCATTAGCCTTTTGTTGTCACAGGGGAAATCCAATGCTGCAAAATGACATCAAACCCCAGGTGGCTCACAGACTGTCAAATCAGCCTGACTGCTATCTGTCTTACTTAAGAAACCAAATTGGACTAGAGAATGTTCAGGCATGAGGGAAGTGCCTTCAAAGAGTGGATGTTTTGGTTTTGTTTTCACATTTTCTTTATAATGGGTAGCCTATGAGCTGCTGATTAGTATTAGGATCAGTGATGCTGCCGCTGCTGCACCTTTTTCCACCAGCATGTGTCTTATACTCTCCATGCTAAAGAGGGGGGTAATAACCGGTTAAAAGACCAGTACATGTGCCCTACAAAGGTACAGTTCTGACATGTGCAACAGCACTACACAGCAGTGAACCTAAAATTCATAGCAGGAAGAAAACTGGTGAACTGTTGCCACCTACTGGCCAAACATGGCACTGCCGAAGCTGCACATGACAGTAGTAAGTGTATCCTCATATGTGTTTCCATCTCCACTTACATTTCTACTATATTACATTTCAGATGGAAATACTGTATGTTTTACTTCTTTGTATTTATTTAACAGCTCTAGTTCCTTTCAGATTACCATTCTATAAAGAAAACATACACTGTAACACTGGCCTTGTATGTGGATAACCAAGCAATGCACCAATATGTGATTGTTGAACATCTCAATCTAAAACCTTTAATCTGATACCCCAACAGCCTCCACTCTTCTGGAAGATTTTGCAGCCTGTCTGCAGGGATTTTCTCCAATTCAACCACAAAAGCATTAGTGAGGTTGGCCAATGGAGCTGGGAAATAGAGCCTTGTTCACAGTTGGGGTCCTTTATAGACTTTGGCTTTGAAGGCAAGGGCATTCATGTTGAAACAGGAAAGGATCTTCCCCAGATACCAAGCTGAAAGCACACTCTTGCCTAAAATATAATTGTATGTGTGGCATTAAGATTTGTCTCAACCATGAAAAACAGCCCCAAACCATGTAGGAGATATGTACCTGTACAGAAATGTCCACATGGTACATTATCATCCGATAAAACATTATGCATTCATCACTGTGCATATCAGTGGTGGAAAAGCAGCTAGGTACAATTACTTTGAACTTTATTACTGTAACGGTCTTCAGATACTTTTACTTGAGTATTTACCTCTTTATTTGAACTCTGATACATTTCAGACTATGGCACCATATTTATCTACTTGTATACTTATCTTATCTGTAGTAAAAAAATTATAATAAGTTCTATCATAACTTATAAAAAGTTTTCAAACAGCAAGAGTATAAACAACAGTGTCTAGTTGGGGCTCCTTGTCAGCTGTTAGCAGACCAAACTGACATCCAGAGCCCAGGATCAAACCCGAAACCTTCTTGCTGTGAGGTGACAGTGCTAACCACTGCACACTGTGCCACCCACCAAAAAGCCATTTACCCTCTAAACTTCTCAGATCCATTTAAGGAACTTTTCCAGGCCAGTACATTTCACAAACAAACAAACAAAATGTTTGGGGGCATCCTAAAGTAGGTAAAACTAGTTCTGCCTACATCAGCTTCACATGCATGACATCATCTAAAAATATTGTGATTGTTAAATATTTAACACAATAATGTAAGATAAAATAATGTGGTACTAAAATGTCATTTTTTTCCTACATAGAAAATACTTTAAATTTGACATAGGAAGTACTTTGTTTACTTTTAGGTAACCTGCTCTTATTACATTTTTGAATGCAGGACTTTAACTTGTAATAGAGTATCGCTCCTTGTTTCAATGGGATACTAGTTTATACAACGTTTAAATGATCTAAAATGTATTTTTATGAAAGGCAGATATTAAACCGACCTTATCTGATCATGATTTTCATTAGACATAACCCGGAGACAGCTCCCTCCACTCACTGGAGTTCTCAACAGTTTCATAACATCAGAATAACCCATGATGTTGAAATGTGGCTGTGGACATTTGCATAGTCTACACTGTACACCCACCCACATCCGGTTATCTCCACTTCCTTCATAGTGTCTGTATCTTTCCCCAAAAACACTTTCATCCAAATCAGGAATAAACCACCCATAAACGATAACTACCACATAAATAAATGATTAATTAACTAACAGACGTGAATGTGAGGACGAAGTGACCATTAATTTACCGATATCAATTCGTCACATCTGTGTGAAGGTCAGTTCAATAATCTGACACATCTGTTCCATCACTCTTCAGTATTCTCTTTGCATGTTTCACTGCTGGAGTCTGCGCGATGTGACCTAACCTCGAATTATGCGGAAAAGCAAGTGGGAACAACCTCTGCGATTCACTTCCTAGTGTAGGGTTTCATTGCCGTTCGCACACCCTCCGTTGAGCCTCAGACACTGTGGCGGTGATTTAGGCTCCGGACTTCGACCGGACGCGCCTCACGGGCCACCTGAAGGCTGTCAGCGCTGGACTTTGGACCAGCAGCAAAAAAACGAGAGACAATGTACTTGGAAAGTTTATGAGGAGGCCTTGATTTGATCCCTCTTCTCTCGTAGGGACACCTCGTCTGCGCTGAGGGCTCCTACCTGTGCTGACTTGTCGCTGCGCACTGGACTGAGGTGGGGGAGTCAAACCCACAGACACACCTTATTTACCTTTTGTGGCTCAACTGCGCCCCCATCCCGCCCTTTGTTTCTCTGAGAGCGGAAGAATAATCTGTCCGAGCCCTGAAATGTCGACAAATGAGAGAGCAACCCGCGCACTGAGGGAGATCCTACAGAAGCCTGGAAATGACACCTGCGCGGACTGTGGCGCCCCGGGTAAGATGGAACATGTGGGAATTGACTGGTTAACAACGGGGAGCTGAGACGTTTTATCATCAGTGCTGAGGTGTGACAAGCAGGAGGTGATTTTATCAACGCCAGTAAAGGGATAGCACTCATCTTTAAAACACAGACTCATGCCCGTGATCACTACTACTGTTACCGAAGTAATGCTTCTTGATTTTGAACATAAAACGCTTTTAATGCGTTTTCTTATCCTTCCCTTAAGTGTGTGACAGGGTGAGTTGGGAACTCAGAGCCTTCTTGGAGCACTTGAAGGTAATAGGTAAACCTTGATGTGGCTGCAAGAGGAGAAACTTACAGAGTTCAACAAGTTTGGTCATGTAAAGTGTAGGGCAGCACACACCCTGGTGTGGGCCCAGCAGTGGAGCTCCTACAGGTAGGCTGCCTGTTTCTAGAAATGTAGGGCTTATACTGGCCTTCAGTTTGAGGAAATGGGTTCAAGGTTTTCAGACAGGATTGAAACAAACAAACAAAAAACATCATCCCACTTACAGTAATATGCATAATATCACAGAGGAAGAGTGTCTACAAGACATTTGAACTACTTTTTAGGTTTAAGAAAATAAACTCTCACAGGTATTGGGGATACTTGTTCCCTTGTAATATTTGTATAGATTCATTCACAACTGAATATAGCCTCCTAATGTGGTTTTATAATGAATTCCCCCAAATCATATGAATTTGATTGAAGCCAAATGTTGTAGTAAGAATGCTGCTCTACTGAGCTAGCTAAGTTTTAATTTAGTTATTTTTTTAATGAATGACTGTAGCTGTTACTTCATTTAATACATTAATGTAACGTAGAATAACAAATCTATCTATCTATCTATCTATCTATCTATCTATCTGTCTATCTATCTATCTATCTCCTAAACTCCATCGACTCCATCGAGTGTAGTTATTTTTAGCCTTTTATTGTAGGTAACAAAAACCAAACATGCTGTTGTCAAGGAAATGATTCATCTGTGTTGCAGATAAAATGGGCACCAAAAAGTCAGATTGTGGTCTTTCCTCAGTTTGGGCCAGTCATGTATAAATAGCCCATGTTTTGGCTGTGTGGACCGGGCACACTCGGTCCTCATGGACAGCGCTGTATGTAGACCACATTACATTTCACAGTCAAATCAGGAAATCAGTTACTAAGGCCTGAGGCACCAATGTTGGCATAGCTGAGCAATGTAGCAAAGATAACATCACTGCTAGGCTTTACCCCTCTGTCTTTTAAATCATTATTTAGCCCAGCCTGGTTGACTGACTGCGCAGTACACAGCACCTCTAATACTTGTGTTTATTGAGCTGCTGGGGTTATGAGTGCCTTGCTCAAAGGCCACCTTCCTCTGTGCAGACTAAAGAGAGACACTTTGTTGTGTTGGCGTGTGCATGTGTGGGCTGGTCCATCTGTAATCAGCTCCCTGACATTATGAAACATTGATGTAAAAGAAATTCGGCATGAGTACTAACCAGCCAAGCACATCATATCCTCTACGGCTGGAAAAATAACGAGTGCTTTGTGCTCCATGCTCATACATCTGTGATCTGTAGTGATTGAAACAAGGCAGACTCGCGCACACACACACACACACACACACACACACACACAACCTTTGTTTACTTGCACGCTGTAGAGTATGTGTGAGGAAGATAAGACAGGTGTGGTCACAGCGAAGACAGCAGTACTTAGGACAGATAAACCGTGAAGTTTTCAGGTTGCACAATTCATTGTGTGTCACTGATCTAGTTGAGGCTCAGAGGTTCGAAGCAGGTTCATACACACAAGGTTTGAATCCTCACACCCTTTGTAAAATTGGAATGTTCTCACCTAGAACCAGCTTTTAAGGAACCCTTAAGAAAGCCACTGTAACAGCAAAGACTGCAGTCATGGACAGCTGCTCTCTCACCACTGCTTGGTATAGATGTGAAGGTTTGTTTCCTCATGATAATTGATTTTTTGTTCAGCATGAGTTTAGTCACTATTTGTTTTATGCAGTTTTTAAAAGACTGTATTCTCAGAGGACTTGTTCCTGATCCTGAAATGATTAGTTGATTCATCAGTCAGTTGCCAGAAAATGTAAGACCATTTAACCAACAACAGTTTTGATAATAAAAGTATAATTCAAGTCATTACATAGAATGAAAAAATAATCTTTGTTCTGTTTGTCTTCTCCATCTTTCTCTCTACAGACCCTGTGTGGGGCTCCACCTCCCTGGGGGTGTTCATCTGTCTGGCCTGCTCTGGGATCCACCGCAACCTTCCCAACATCAGCAAGGTCAAGTCGCTGAGCCTGTCCCACTGGGAGGACCAGGAGCTGCAGGTGAGAGCCCAAAGCCAGCAGCCTTCCCCCTCTGTGCCCCCAAGGACCCATGAACTGAGCTCAGTGCCACTTTTATGTGATGTTGACCTGTTTCTCTACTGTTCTCTATAGTAGAGTGAAAGGGACATGCTCACTGCATGAAGCTGCACTGATAATTTACAGTATAGGTTTATGTATTAACAGCTTTACCTCGTAAATGCTGAACTCTCTATGATCACAGTGATTTAAAAAGATGTTAGTTTTCTTCTTATTTTCCTTCTAGATTTTATTCCTATGAACTACAGTTGACTTATCGTCTGTTCTCAAACGCCAAGAGCTTCTTAGTCTGATTAGCATTGAATTTTCTGATCAGTGACCTCCCTGGATTCTTCATCAGTGAGGTTATATGATCATTTCTGGCTTATTGGCAGCATGAATAATGGCCAAAATGATCCTGGTACAAAAGAACAAGATATTTTGCAGTAGTAATGCACTGTAAGAAGAGGTTTTCTCTAAAATGTCACACTGTGCTATAGGTAGGTATTACAGAATAAAAAGCAACACTTTGAAATTACAGTATTATTAAATTATTCAACTTCAGCGTCATGAGAGAAAGTTTCCAGAACTTTAATTTCAGTTAAAACTTTGGCTTCCAGTGATTTTGAAAACACAATAATCAAGATAAAACAATTACTGGGACACGTTCTGTTTTGCATGCTTTCATTTGCGTACCACACGTTCTGTTTTGCATGCTTTCATTTTGCCTTGTGCTATAAAAGCAGCGTACTGCTTTCTTTTACAGTGGTGCACAATCTCCCTACAAATCCAGACTCTCAGCTAGGCAGCAGCTTTGTTTAGTTCAGCCAACAATGGTTTACTTGCTAGCAAAGCCTGTTAGCAACAGGTCACATGACTGGGAATAATTCGATTACCACAGAAGAAGAACCAAAAGAGTTCACCAGCAAGAACTACAGCTGTGATTCTTTGGGTTACCACAGCCAGTGTTGTTAGGAAGCAGCATTTTATTTTAAATTACATGTAGAGCAATAAGCAGTTTACTCTGAAAAGAAACACTGCAATTAATTAATTCCTATGATTAATACATTGAGTGTTTTTTTTAACTTTGGAGTGCTTCCTTATCTTCTGGACTTTGTCTTTGGGAAATAATAAGGAACTTTCTCTGAACTGTTAATCACAGTTACACAGATGAAATAATTATAACTTCCCTCAGTTGTAATTGTATTACACAGAGAAACATTTGTCATCACGGTGTTTGGCTTCACCCACCTGCAAATCAATACCCGTCAAAATGAAAACAAATTAATAATAAGCTTTATTTTGTAAATGACATTTTGGTTTCTCTAAGGGACCAGGTACTTGTGTGTAAACACTTCCAGCTTCTCTCACACTCTCACTTCTGGCATGAGTCATCATTTTTTTTATTTGTTTTTCAGGTAAATTATATTAAAAGTTTGGGAAAATCACTGTTTACAAAAGACAAGGGTTTTATTTACATTTACTTCCTTCTTTCTTTAGAGAAAATTCAATAAATGCATGATGTTTTCAAAGTCAGTGAGTAATTGTGTTAAGTAATCATGACCTGGCCAAGATGGCAGCCACACAAATTAACAACTTATTAAAATTCAACACAATATACAAAGATTAAAACAATGGACTGTCAAGCAAAACAGCTGCATGTCTCCTTCACCACATTCTTTATGATGCCATTAAATTCTACAATAGACATGAGTGTGTCTAACTTTAAACACATTCGACCAAAATCATGATTCAGATTTTTGCCATTATCGAGCCTCCATACTTTTGTTTTTAAATCTTTTTAGGGGAAATAAATCAAGTAACTTTCTGTGACTTATCATTTTGTTGTAACACTGATAAAGATTCTATTCCTCTCAAATGGATTCTTCTGTTGAGCAGGGAACTAAGTGTAACTGTGAAACGTTCAGGTAAAGTCACACCTGTTCTCATTTCATGTGTGTGTTTTGTTAGTTCATGGCTAAGAATGGTAATGAGCTGATGAAGACTAAATATGAGGCTGCTGTTCCGGCCTACTACTACAAACCAACCCACAAAGACTGCCAGTGAGTACCCACAATAACACACACAGAAAAAATCATGTATTATTAACATACTGGATGTTTGTGTATTATGTTGTACCAGTTTGTGTGTGATCATGTGTATCCCCTCATGTGGTTTCCTGTTTTTGTTTGTACCGGTGCATGTGTGTGGGTTTGCAGGGAACAATGAGCGATCTTTAACCAACCTGTCACACCAGAGCCCGAATCCCTAATTGAATCCCCTGGTTTATTTTTAGATGTTATTCCAGTGACATTATCAGCTGGTCTCATTGTCGTTCTTTTGAGGTTTACCAGCCCAGCTGCCAGTCTAAATTATAATTAAGTGTGTAGCAGGTGAATTGGGAAGGATGAGCACTCGTGCCATTTCAGTTGGCAAGAAAGAAATGTAATAAATAAAAAACCTCTTTTCTTTGCCCTTATTGAGTCACTTATCAGTTCTGATGTCTGCAGATGTTTCTAGTTAGAACAAGTAAGTACAAGTAGAAGCTGATTTATGTAAGACTTAAACTGTTCCTACCATAAACAAGCAGTTTCACGGGGGAGCTGACTTTTTGACAGTGTTCTGCTTTTTAAGCTGCTTTTGAAATGATACCTGCGAGGCTGGAGGGCTCCTTCAGTGCAAGTCATTTCACTTCCATTTTACTCAGATCTGAAATGCTTCTGATCCACGGCTCTTCTGGAACACCCTTGGCATTGATTCAGATTCAGATGTTACTGGATATGTCTCCACAGTGTTTTGGGATTTTCTGCATTTCTACCAGGCAGATTTACTCAAGCTTAGTCAAGTTGTACAGGGAGTGTCTGGAAAAAGTTGCATCTTCAAATCATTCCGTAGATTCCATAGTCTGGGCTTTGAATCTGACATCCAAGATTTTTTTTTTTTTATTCTAGCTCTGAAGCGAGTCTGGCAGAATGACACAGTGATGGCAGGACTGATTATCCTGATCACTGATCTTATGTTAGCCTTATTGTGGTGCTTAACTATAAAATCCAGGCCAAACACTTGAGTGTTGATTGGACTGTATGCTCAGTGTGTTTGTCATGAGCCTAAACTAAATCATCATCTCAGTTACAGTAGGTCTCCAAGTCAATTTACATCTGAATACAGTGTCAAAAGCTAGTATCAAGAGCAGCTGTGGCCATTACCCTAAATGGTTTTAGTCTCTTCATTAAAGATACAAGGTGCTGCAGAGAATGTTAACTGCATTCATCTCATTATCTTTATTAGTAATGAAACAGGAAGGTAGAGTGTGTTGTACATTTTATTTGCTTCAGTGAATGTCTTGTATCGATTTAGTGGTTTACACAGCACAGAGATGTGAGCAGAAGGATCGTTTCTCTCTCTGTGTGGTTGTGGGTCTGCTTGGTATGTCGTGCTTGTAATTCACCTCCAGTTTGAGGATCTTAAGTGTTTCAGACTCCTCTCCGCTGTGAATTAAATGTTCTTGACAAAGAACACCGCCCTATTCTCAGCCCGAACACAGACCCTAACCATTTCTCATCGACAGTCTGTAGCCTTTCTCAACCTGTACAGTTTTTGTTTGGGTCTCTGAAAACTGTTGTTTTTCTCTCCATCCTCCTCCAGTGTGGTCTTATAATGAAAGTATCTGGATACAAAGTGACAGAAACACATTTTTTCACCATAAAACATTTAAACGGTGACAATCTGATGAAACTCCTAACTCATAGTTCTGCTCTGACTGAAGACAAACTGATTCAAAAAGAGGTTATTTTGGTATATAACTTGTAAATGTCTCAGACTTTTTGGCAGTTGGTATCTAAACAAATATCAGTGTTTGCAACTTGTAAAAATATCTTTATTTCAGTGCACCACATCGCTAATAGTGGCTAACAGAGTGGCTGTTGATTAACTCACCAACAATAGCCCCTAATAAAACATGTTATTTTACTGCATACTCTGATAACTACAGTGGGTTGTTGGCTACGGTTCAGTTAGCGTTTTTTGCCCGCTGTCTCACTGCAGCTGCTGAGATACACTTTCCTCTCTGTCTTCTGCTTGTAGACATACTTCGATTGTCTCATAGTGTGTTAGTGTGGCGACACCAGGCTGCTGCCAAGTAGGAATCTTTGGAATGATATGAATCACAAGCATGGAATTTTGGGAGAAGAGCAATATTTCTCGATGACATAAAAAAAACACACACACACACAAAATACTACAATAAGCCACTTTGCTTGCTTAACTAGAAATTATAGTTCATGCACTGAAAAGATGGAGCAGGTCACCTAAACATTTGCCTGAGGACACACACATTTACAGTATACACATGTAAAGCGTGATCTTTGTTCATTGGTAATAAAGAGTGGTGTAAAAGAAGGTGGATGTTGGTTTGGTTTGGTTCTGAACATTTTGTTTTTTTATTTTTGTGGACATATTTCCTGTATTTTCTGGTTAGATCTTAATAATGAGAGTGAGAACTATAAATGATCATTATAACCCTGCTAAAACAGCAAAACTAACAGTGGCCTGAGACTTGTGCACAGTACTATACATTTCTGAATTGTCCGATTGTAACTTGTAGCTTAGCCTCTCCCTCATTTAGCTCTGTTGAGCTTCTGTTCGTGTGTGCTCAGGGTGTTGAGGGAGCAATGGATAAGAGCAAAGTACGAGAGGAAGGAGTTCTCTGAGCCGGGGAAACATTTTACATATGAGGAAGGTGAGTGCGTACACACACATGCACACATGCATACATGCACAAAACACCCTGATGCTAATGAATGACCTATACTGGCTGCCTGCAGGGACTAGAGATGGCATATTGCTGAAGAGAGGGCGGGGTAACGGGCAGTTCCTGAGCAGGCGATTCGTCCTTTCAGACAGGGAGGGGACTCTGAAGTACTTCACCAAATATGACGTAAGCAGCGGCCTTTGACGAGATGTTTTGTGGCCACATGCAGCTACACATGCGCACTCCCGACACATCAGGAGACACAATCTCACTGTTGTTTGAAGGCTCACTCCCAGCACGTGCACACACACGCATACACAGTCCAACCACGTGACAGAAAGCGGCCTTAATTTTTGCACACATTTAACTTTGTAACCATACATACCTGCCAAAAGACAACAAAATGTACAGTATCTGTGCCTGCTCTGTTCTCTGCATGCTCAGACAAGTGTTAGCAGCAGTCTGTCCTCTGCCAGTGTTGCTCACTCACCGTGCACCACCCAAAGCAATCAGGGTCGGAGGCACTGGGAGCACACTGTTACAGTAAACCAGCTCAGGGGAGGTGGAAATAGCATGTTTAAAAAGAGCAGAAGGGTGAATTTTACTATGTCCTACAATGCAACAGTTTTTTTATTGTGAATGTTTTTCTTATACTCTCCAGGTCACTTTATCTCAGACTGTAAAAAAAAAAGCATCCTTATAGTCACAGCCATGATAAAAGTTGTCACTCGAGTGCTCTAGGGTTTTTAACGTTGGTGAGCTGGCCGGGTCTCACAAGAACCTTAAAATGTGTAAAATATTCAGGTACAAGTAACAATGTGGCTCAGGTCCAACTGACTGCAGCCCAGCCAATTTGTCTCTTCCTTGTCTCATGCTTTCTGTTTTTTTCATAGTGGGAGAGTCAGCACTCACAAAGAAAAATGTCAAATCGAATCGACGTCTTGTAAAAAGCATATCTGTTCTATGTTAAAGTCAAGGACACAGACACTGGTTCTGGTCCCAGAGTTTCTCTTTTAAATTCAGGTCAGGACAGTTTAAAGCACAGACTCCAAAAATGGGTTCAGGGATTAGTGTCGGTCTGAGACACAGCGATGCAGGCTGATCTGTAGGTAATAGTTTTATATGTTATTGTCATGGTTAAAAAGCACAGAATGTGGGCCCAGACCTTGACATCATTCAGTACACACACCTTGACTTCATAAACATAGCCAAGCAGTGGCAACAAACAACCCATTGGTTATTGTAGTGCCTGTTCAAACCGGTGGACTAAGGAGAATGTTTCTGGGTTTGTTCTGGTCCATTTGAGTTTGTTGATCCCTATGTTTCTAACTCACAGACACCTCCTCCTCCATTCCTCCTGCAGGCTAAGGAGCCCAAAGCAGTGATCAAGGTGGACACCATCAATGCAACCTTCCAGCCAGAGAAGATAGGAAACCCCAATGGCCTGCAGATCACCTACCTGAAAGACTACAGCACCCGCAACATCTTTGTCTACCATGAAAACGGCAAGGTTTGTGTGCACTCTCATGTGTGGTGGCATGAAAAAAAAAGAAATAACAGTGAATAATCATTAGTTTTCTCTCTCCAGTGAGTGTGAGTGTATCTAAGGCTTTGCCAACAATATCCTTAAAGAAAATTAAAAATGTTGTTGATAAAAGACAAAAACTGTACTTTTGTGTTCTGAGCTAAAATTAGAATTAAGAAAACGATTCACACCACCCACCATCACCACCTTTTACGTGAGGATTGTATTTGCCAAATCAGTGTCTCCGTGCAGTCAGTCGCCAAAACTGTGGATGTTTGAATTGTGATATGACATGACCTTTCTAAATGTGTTCTTTGTTGCTTATCTTGGATTTTAGGTGATTAATATACCAGAACAAGGTGCAGCGAACATTACCTGCTGTGAACAAACTGTCCCATGAAGATTATTTCTTGACCTTAGAAGCAGCAGCTTGACAAAAAGTTCTCAACACAACTTAAGAATTGTTTCCAAAACCTTCAACCACATCTTGTATAATTCCATGTAAGCCATATATTCCACACAGTCATGTGGTAAAAAGTAAACAATTTTCATGATGGGGTGGCTGTGGCTCATGAGGTAGGCCAGTCGTCTCTTGACCAGCAAGTTGGTGGTTCGACTCCCGGTCTCCCGGTCTCCCCGCATGCCTAAGTGTCCCTGAGCAAGACACTGAACCCCGAATTGCTCCCGGTGGCTTGACTAGCGCCGTTGCGTGGCAGCCTGTTGTCATCAGTGTATGAATGGGTGATTCCACACAGTCATGTGGTAAAAAGTAATGGGTGAATGATCTTCTGTAAAGCGCTTTGGCCAGTACAACACACTGTGAGAAAAGCGCTATATAAAAATACAGTCCATTTACAACTAAGCAAATTTCATGTGCTAAGGAACAGCACAAGATCACCTCTAGGCTAAACAATCACATCCTAAATACCATGAAGATTTGTTGTGGAAAAGCCCCGTCTCTGTTAAACCTTTACAGTGCAGTAGTATTTGTCACAATTATAATATCAGCCACACAATGTCAAAGCTGTGTTAACCTCAGCGAAATTATATAATTACTCATGCCACTGTGTCTTAACCTCTCTCTCTGTCTTTATTAGGTGATCGTAGACTGGTTTAATTCGATTCGTGCAGTTCAGCTTCACTATCTAAAGGTGGCCTTCCCTGGAGCGACAGCTGCTGAGGTGAAAACACACACAACACAACCACTGTTGATGATTGCTGTGACTAAAATGATGCTTATATTGTTTATATTACTCAGATGAAAAACTGCATTACTATAATTAGACGTATCATATATGTTGGCTAGCACTTACTCTTTAAAGCACTAAAACCTTTTGTGGCCTCACTGTGTGACCATAGTTGATTAAAATAAGAAATTGTTACCTTTGATTTGCAGCCTTACGGTAGCGGCGCGTTAAGCGAACTCAGCATGAACATTGAAGAGGTCTCAGGACATTTATCTGTTTGATTTATCTGTTTTTCAGCTGGTGCCCAAACTTACCCGGAACTTTCTGAAGGAAGGATACATGGAGAAGACAGGTCCCAGGGCAAGTAACACACACTCAGTTGTGTTTCATTACACTATAATAATTTCCTGGAGATCATAAACCTAACTTTACCCTTTACCCTTAAACCGAGTCTTCACCCTAAAACTGATGACTTTACATTATGAGACTTACTTTTTAGTCATGCCCCAACAAAGTGACTGTGAGACAGATTTATAGACTGACACACTGCCAGTCTTCATTTTAGCTTGTACGGTACACATCTACTGCATCCTCTGTGCTGCTTTTCCTCTTCTGAACCTCCTCATGTGTTTCAGCCGGTGCAGCAGTTGTCTTTGTATTTAAAACAGGCACTGCTGCCTCAGACATTACAAACCTCTTGCACTCTTTGAACCAAGTTGATGAATTCATACATCAATAAATATACATCTGAGTATTATTAAGATTATGCCAGGGTGTGTGAGTTTGGTTTAAAATGCAGAAGGTAAAGGAGAAGAACTGTGTAAGTGCAGAATTTACAACAACAACAACAAATGTCCACAGAATTAAATGAGTGCTGCAAGGGCACACTTAGAAAATAAAGTCAAGCTATATAGTTTGCTGCGGGGGCTGTATTTTGTAAGAGAGTACAGTTGTTTGAACCAGCAGCTGCTTCATCCGGGTCACTGCACGACGTCAGGGCACCACCGAAGACCCCATGGTTAAATAAAGGTTGTTGATGACGATGGTAATAATTATAGTCACTTGTGAACAGGGCTATATTGACCGTTCAGTGGTTGACAAAGTCTTAGTCAAATCAGCTGTTGTGTATTTCCTGTATACTGTATGGACAGTGTGATACGCATACATTTTAAATAAGTCATAACAGAATAGTATACTATCATTCTGCATTACACAGAAGTCAGAAATGGAGGGGAAAGTGGTAAATACCATGTACAAACTACTACACACTGTCTTAAACACAACAGACTGTTTTGTAAACCAGACCTAATGACCTCTGAATTGAGTTTCAAGCTAAATTTCCCTTAACAGCTTGGATACAGTTCCCTCTGGAAACCTCCCTCTGTGATCCCAGCTCACACTCGGCATGCTGTAATTGAATGGGAGCTGGGCTAAGAGGCTAAGCACTCTCTCTGTCGGTGCAGCTGCTCTCGGCTGCCACCTGACAGGCTGACTGACAGCTGAGAGGGCCTACCTGCCTGCCTCGCCGTCCGTCTGTCTGTCTGTCTGTCTGTCTGTCTGCCTCAGAGGCAATGAAAGGATTCTAGCTGAGAATCGACTTAATCCTCAAGTGTCAAACCCTCAAATACACTCACAAAACAGACATTTTTTTGGATAAAGAAAACACACAAAGAAGCATTGTTACATACGCAATCAGCCATGCACAGTTGCACCAACACTTTTCTATTTGCATATGTACACACAGGATTCAGACTGAAGCACCTACACAGGCAACTCCAAGCAGTGTGATCCTCAGTAACACAACAGGTTCTGTAGTCAGACTCACACAGACACACTCTCAGTTTAATCTCCGTTTGTCAGGCTGAGAGATGAAAGGACTTGTGCTGGTTTGCTAAGTGGTTGTTCTAATTCATCTCCATTACGGGCGTTCAGACATATTTGTGGAAGGAGTCAACAGGCAAATTGAGAAGGGAACAATCGGGCTTATGCCACAATCTGAAACTGTTTTATGAGAACAACTTGGTAGCAGCTGGGGACTTCCTTTTTTGAAGCTTGGCTGTCTGAAAAGAGCTCAAGCTACCTGTGCACCTCGGTAAACTCTGCTGTTTCCAGTCCTTCACTGGCTGCTTGCAGTGTGGATGGTTTACTGCAACACTGATGTAAACTTTCAGTTGTGACAGGTTTGGCTTTTAAAATCTGTATCAAAGTCTTTTGAAAGTTGTGCAGTAAAAAATCAGAAGGGACTGCCAATGGAAAACAGTACTGTGTGTTCTGTGTGATGTCTGAAGTCTTTAAACAAAACTGCAATTATGAGCAGAGTGTGAGTCATGTTTTGATTTAGAAACCGGACAATCGCCACCTTTGGTACATGTACAATGCTGTTTTGTGTCTCTGTAGAGTTTCTCTCTGTCTCTACGTGTCTGTCTCACTGACCCCATGTCTGACCTTTTCTTTGCAGCAAACAGAAGGTTTCAAGAAACGCTGGTTCACTCTGGACCAGAGGAGACTCATGTACTTCAAAGATCCACTGGTATGGCAGCTTCACACACACACACACACACACACACACACACATACAATTTAGTCTTGTAGTTGATGCTTTAAGGTATGGTCCCATTTCTTCACCACAAACTTCCAAGTGTGGAGTACAACAGTTCCTTGATGGTATTCTTGTGCTCTAAAAAGATAAAATGAGCACAACTGAGAGCAGGGGAGCAGGTTTTTACATCAAGGAAATTAGATTAAGTAGACAATGTTTGGGATATGAAGCCATTACTCCGAGACGGGGAAGTATAAGGTCCTTTCATTCCCAATATAATGCTATTATACACACTATGGGTTTCCTTCGAGTGAAGTGAAATAATAATCTGCAGAGTGGTTCTATTCTGCCAGCTCCACTGGAACCTTCCACAGTCAACTCTGTGCAGACCTTTGCTTAATCTATCTGATATCAGTGCTTGAAAGCTAGCGATGGTTTTAAAATGAGATTCTGTGTGACTGAATGATTCGAGTGGAGTTTTTATTGCAGTGTTTTGCTGGGAGTCTTACGAGGGGGCAGCTCAAACTGGCCAAGTCTTGGCTAAGTACCTGTTGACATCAGATAGACAAGGCAGATTAACTGATGTAATAGTTCAATGGAGACGTACAGTAATTATCATTGCTAAGTGACCAAAATATCCAACTTACCCAGAGCCGGTTAGACAAGAAATACTAGTAGATGAAAGATAAGGAAAGTGAAGGTGAGTGTGATCTGGTAATAACGTAGATGAAGGACACTCAGAGAAAGTGTCATTTGATCACTCGGATAATAACTGAATTACACTTCTTAGATGTTGTGGAATATAATGTAAGTGCAGTATGCTCACCACTTTACCTACAACCAGTTGAGACTATTAAGCAGTGTTGGGGCAAAATGTAGTGGCAGGCTCCAGAGCAAGCTGTTGAAATTGCTTAGAGCATATTGTTTTAGATCCAGTAGCTGTTGAGATACTCCAGGCTGGACCAAAATGGTGGCCCCACTGATTGGTGACATTGAGTTGGCTGGAGTCAGAGCCGCTGTAGCCAGCTGGAGCAACGCTTCACTGGTTGGTATGTATGACTCCAGGAGGCCTGGAGCCTGTCCCAGCTGACAGTGGGTGAGAGGCAGGGTACGCCCTGGATGTGTCACCAGTCTAGCTAGCGCTAATCTAATTTCAAGTAATTTGATCTTGTTTACATCAATCTTTCTGACTTGTTTTAACAAGTTTTTATCATGACAAAATGGCTTACTGCACTGGCAGCCAAACTGGTTTAGTGTCAGGTTAAAGGAAGCTCTTATCTAAAAATTCTTTGCACTTACATTTTCTGCTGTCTGAACTATATTATCAATTCATTATTCAAATAATTAATAACCAGATTAATCAATAATGACAATAATTGTTAGTAGCAGACCTAAATGTGCAAGTTTCATGGCAATCAATTAAAAAATGAAGGTATTTTCTTCACGAAACCCAAAAACCTCAACCTTTAGCACCATAGCAGCACCAGAGAAAAAGTCATGGGATCATCAAAGTCAACAGAATTCTTCCTGTTGTTACCATGATTGTGAGTGGAAATATTCATGGCAGTCTATCCAGTAGTTATTGTTTCAGGCAGGAACCCGGCACCTGACTGACCAACAGATTGACTCTCAAGAGTGATGCATTAAGATACAATAGCATCCTGTATCTTAAAAAAAGAAAGTCTGTACTTCCCTCTTTATTTCTTCCTTCCTCTGTCTGAAGGACGCCTTTGCCAAAGGTGAAGTCTTCTTGGGGAGCAAGGACCACGGTTACAACGTCTCCCCCGGCTTGCCCACTGGCACCTACCGCAACGGCGCCTGGCAATACGGTATCACCATAGAAACGCCTGACCGCTCCTTCCTGTTTACTTGTGAGACAGAAAGTGACCAGCAGGATTGGCTGAAGCACTTCAACGGTGTCATGAATGCTCCGATGTCCCCTCAGGAGTACACAAGTAAGAATTCAGATCTTTTCATTAGCTGTTAAATTTTTGATGAGCTGCTCGTTCAGTCTTCAGTAAGTGGCTGTTACTGTTTTTATTGGAGCTTTACATCAAACAGCTGCTCTGCTTCACAGGGCACCATGGAAGAAAAATAACCAGCTGAAAAAATAAAGGGCCACTCACAAATTAAAAAAGCTTGAGTGTGTCACATTTGTTTATTAATGAAACCCTTCTATGCATCCAGCAGTCGCCTATTTTTACAATCTGGAGTTTTCATGTACATATGAAGCCACACATTACTGGCAGCTGAGCAGTGTCAGTGGGGCAGCTGCGGGTTACTGGCCTCTCTGGTATTTACTCTGCCTAATTTCTTTTCGGCCTAGAAGGTCTCGTGAGACTCAAAACAAACTGACACCACAAGCCACTCCTAACCCCTCTTTGCCCCTCCCATCACTTCCCTGTTTCAGCAACAGTGTAAACTATGGATGCCTGGTTGCGACAAACTGTCCAAAATGTGGCCTCCAGTCTGAATTTAGCATTAGCTGACTAATGAGTCCATCTGGTAGTCCAATAGAACCCTCTGATTACTGCGTTTGCTATAAACACAAAGTATTGTTCAGCTTCACAAATTAAGACGTTGACCCAATGATACATGAATTAGTACAAAATGATTTGTCTGCCTTGATAAAAGTTGGGATTTCCATGTGTTTTCTAGTGGAAGCCATGTTCAAACATAGGCCTTGATGGAATAAGCCTGTGGGACCATCTCCTCTCCTCTCAGCCCATCACCAGTCTGACACAGGACCCACATCACTTCCATCACTGACTCCCACAGCATGACCTTCATCACTAATAAGACTGGAGCTTGATGCTACTGTAGGTCCTAAAGAGACTCTTTAACAATGGCTTTAAGTGTCTAAACAAGAAAAACAAGGTGATATTCATTGGTAATTTTTTTTAAATGGCCAAAAGAAAAGGTAATACTTGATGGCAGAGAAGTATTCGATAAGATGGTTGCAGCTTTGGCATTCACTGCCATGCTGTTTTTGCAGCACACATCCAAGAAACTATCTTGTCAGTGAAACAGTCTGGGGAGTACTATAACAGCTTTCTTCTTTGATTTTATTTAGATGATGTTTGGATGACTCTAGTCTCTAAAAAGACATTTTTAAGATGAGAAGTACCTTACTCCTCATTTATTGAGTATTTTATGTCAACATTTGATGTGATGCTTGGGTAACACTAAGGTACAGTGAGTCAGATGGGTCAAACAGGTACAGACCAGCAACCTGACAGAACACAATTGTAGACCGCTTTCTTAAACAAAAAACTTAATGTTATTCATTGGTTATTTTACTGTGAACTATGTAATTATTACTGACAAAAAAATTAGAAGAGTATTGCAGCCCGTTTCATTGGTTACAGCTTATTATTGTGCTGTTTCTATTGAAAAGGGCAAAAATATTATATATTTTGCATTTTTCTAATTCTCCTTTTGAATAAAGTGAGTACATCTGTCAAAGACATAATTGAAAGATAATAAAGGAAATTTGTAAATGCATTGGGATAGAAATGCTGAAAACACTGCAAACCATTATATGTTCATTTAACAGCGCTTCAATGTGGCATACACTGCGTCTTTGTTTAAAAATAATTCAAACAATGCACATTTTCCCCCTGTTTTCGTAGATATCAACCAACCAGTTGGTTTTAGTGGTATTTTTACGTGTCTTTTTACTTTTCTGGTTAAAGAGGTACTCACTGTTTGTGCTGATATGGTGCCATGTGTTATTTTAAATGCATGTCTATGCTTGACCATGGCTGACTGACATAGCATATGAATGATTGATCATTAATAAAAAACATTTCTTCTGAATGTTGCCTTGTATTTCTGTATGTATTTGTTAGTGAATCATTTTTAAAAGCACTCACTTAAATGATCAAAGTGAAGGTATGTTTTTCAAAAACTAGCTGCCAAGTCCAACAAGTGCATGTCTAGAAAAACCATTTTTTCTCCATCAGTTTCAGTAGTAATATGCTGCTAACACACATGCAGAAAGCATCTAAATATGTACATCTACATTATTAACTTGGCTCTGGCTGACCTGCTCTCGCTAACCACCATTCCCTACTTCATCCACTTCATCCATGACATTGCATGCCAGTATCTTCATTTTGGTTGCTATGAGCCTGGAACACTACCATGCCATGGCCAGGCACTTCAGTGCACGCTGATCCTCGTCCCGCAGTCGATGCCTAGCAGCAGGGATTATCTGGGCTTTAGCTTTTGTGCTGAAGCTTCCCATGATGGTGATGATCCAACTCAAGGAAGGTAAGGCCACTGCAGTAGCTTTGGTAAACAGGATCTGGTTTCCAGCCTGGACCCATGAGGCCTTCAAGGCTTATATCACCGTCCTGTTTTTAGTGTTTTAGTGCCTAGATCAGTCATTGTTAGGCCGTATGTGGGGCACACCAACAGGCTAGCGTGGGAAGGTAGGAATCACTCTGCCCGGAGGAGAGGACTCCGGGAAAAGAGGAAAAAAAAGTGGTATCAATGATATTTAGTATCGTAGTGGCCTACTGTGCCTGTTTCTTACCTTTCTGGGTAAAGGTAGCTTTGTCTCCAGGCGCTCATAATTATGTGAATTTCTTTGTCACGTCTGATCTATGAGAACAGCTTTAATCGATCCATGTCTGACATGGAACTATAAAGGCTACTTGGCCCAGAAAGGTCAGGTCATGGGGTCAAGCAGGGCTGATCCAGGATCCACAGCAGGACCTTTAGTGATGATTTCTGAGCACAAACTGAAAAAGTTGACATCAGTCTGAGAAGGGAATTTTTTTTGTCTAGTGATTTTGTACCAAACTGGAAAATTTCATTACAAACTCTACAAATGCAGCAAACAAATCTGGTGTGATGTGACATTTCCTACAATGTTGAGAAGGGAAACCAGAGCCATTAGATTCAGAGAAATTCAGCACAGCAGGCGGTTGTTTGCCAGTATTAAAATCTAACAAGTCTGCTGGTTGGAGGGCAAACTGTGCTAATGACGTTTCATTTGTGTGCTTCACTGCTATATAATCCAATGCTTTTTCTTACCTTACAGGAACACGTTCTGGTAGCTGTCCAAGCTCCTGATATTTGGGGTCAAATGTGAATGACTAATGTCCACATGAGAAAGGTTTGAACTGGAATTGAAAATGTTACAAAATGGACATTTTCAAAAGTGCTAAAATGTTTTGGATGAAATGTTGCTCACAAGAAGGCATCATAAAACTGACTTTGGATTTCCTGTTAAAGAAAAAGCTAGACAATAGAATCAAATGTGAGGAACTGCTTCAACGTTTTCCTATTTGTCATCCTCACACACAAATATAGGATATTTCGTTTGCTTCCAGGAACTGTAGCAGCACTGTGCCACATTCCTCAGCCTTGGGCCACAACTCATTTGAATCGCCCAGTAAAGTGTCTCTGCAACAATGTGACCTCTCATATGTCCCTTCTTTGGCATTATATTATTTTAATCTTTGTCCCCCCCATCCTTGCTCTCCAAAAAATTCAAATGCAAAAAAAATAAATAAATAAAAAGTGCATTAGTAACGTAACCTGATTTTTTAATTATCCTAAATGAAGGAAGTCTCTTTTGAGATGCTTTCACTGCCCTCTGCTGTCTCAGGAACAGCTTCTCAAGTGAACTGCAAGTAGTTTTAATTTACTGAGTCAGACACAGAGATTGTACCTTTGTTATAAATGTAAGTCTGTGTTGCATAAAACTAATTTGAAATTATGTACTGTACCATAACTGGAGGCTGTGTTATATTAGTGAAAGTCAGAAAGTGAGAGATGAGAGAGACCCTTTCCCCACAGCATTTATTAGCAAACCCAATGAGATGTCAAGCAGGCACAGTCAGGTAAGATGTGCTATGGCTCCCTCTTCAGGCCATTTCATAGTATTACAGTATATGCAGTGCATGTTAATGTCCATTTCTAGTGTCACTTTTCCATAAGCTTCAACAGGTGAAAAGAAGAATAACCAGAACTTGGCCCAGTAATTTCAAACAGACTACTTCTGAAACAACCAAGAGGTGGACAAGTCGAGTCAAGAAGCTGATGTTTACTTGATCTTGATGCCAACGATCCTTGCATCACCGCTGACGTCAAAGAACTTATATTTGACATCTCCCAGACGGTTGGGGAAATTCATCATGGATCCATCAGGAAGCTTTATGTAAAACTGCTCCATGTTGAAATTGATGTAAAACTGAGGTATATAAGAGAAAGAACACATGAATCGTCCTTAACTGTCAGTCAAGTTTCAGGTGATTTCACATGGCTGCACAACAAGAAGGTAAGGCCACTTGTATGTAAAATAAAAGATTGAAACAGCACTTTGAGCAGAATAATGCTCCAGAGACAAGAGGCAGTCTCTTTCAGCAGCTATTAGCTTTTATGAGGCTATAAACCCTTTCATGACTGTATAGCTCAGTGACTGTTGACCCAGCAGTGTTACAGCACATATACCAAGGCCAATAACCTTGTTATGGTGAAATGACTACAATAAATACAGTTAAAGTACTTTGCTAATGCTCTGCAAAAATGATTTCAAATGCAGCAGTGAACTCCAATCAAACACAAAAGTAGTGTTGAACCTTTGTGTCTAAACAATGATCTCTGTATAATTAGAATAGTTCCCAGTGAATATTGAATAGTATTTTAGCTTGAAATGCCCATCCCTAATGAGAAGCAGTAATGGGCACTCTGCCAGATGTTTTGCTTGGTCTGATATGACCACTGGTTTATGGTCAAAGATTTAGATCATTATCGCTGTGAGCCTAAGATACTGCACCAGTTCACCGACTTGGTGACTGTTCTATTGCTATTATACCCCACTGGTTTATGGTCAAAGATTTAGATCACTATCGCTCTGAGCCTAAGATACTGCACCATTTCACCGACTTTGTGACTGTTCTATTCTTGTGCTATTGCTATTATACTGTTTTAGCATTTATTGCAATTTTCACTTCTGGCAGGAATTGTTAAGCAGCAGTTACACTGTCTCACTTTAAAATGTAGACTAAAAGTACCCTGTACAGTACGTGTATAAAAGCTTGACTACCTACATCTAGACAGAAACTTGCATTAAAATCACCATAGAGCTGCAACAGTTAGATTGATCATTCAATGAAAAGTAATCTGGAATTATACCAATAAGCAATCAGCCAATATAAATCATTAGTGCATTTATGCACAAAATACTGTTAGTCTCAAATATGAATATCATAGTTTTTTTTTATATTTAGTGTTTGGATGCTGCTGGAGAAGAAACCTTAGACTCTGAGAAACTGGGATGGACTGAAATTTCTGTCAGTTACAGCCCTAAGGTGTATTTTAGAAAATACTGTAGCCTATATGGTTTTGTTGTTTGGTATCATACAAAACAGAAGTCTGAGAGGTCAGTGATATCTGACAAACCCGTTCACAATCTCTCAACACACCTTGCATTCCTCCCCACATGTGAAAGGGAGGCGTCCCTCGCGGTGCTCATCACCCCAGCTCCCCCCAGACAAGGAGTTGCAGACGATGACTTCAGAGTCAAAACGGGGGTTGAAGTGCAATGCGATATTCTCAGGGTCATGACCAATGTTAATGGCAAAGCTGCAATGGAGGCACAAACATGAAGGTCAAAAGAGAAGTGGTTGAAACGTTAGCCTATCTCACAGCATGTCGTGCCAACCTTCTCTTGAATAAACCCAACTGAGTTCCCAGTCCCCATAAACTGTATGAATCAGATATCGGCTGGAAATGCTTGCACCACTCGACAGATCATGAGGAAGACTTACGAAGAGCAGCCGTCATTGGGCTTGATGCGGATCTTGAATTCATGCCCCTCCTTGAATGTCATGTCCTTGACTCGCTATATGTGGAAATGACAAAGAGAAATATGGGAACGGATTTGGATGAGTCTTAATTAAAATGTTCTTTTGGTAGATGTACCAGACCTTAACAGTGGTAAAGGTCATATCACACAGAGCACAAGTGTCTCCAATAAGGAAACAAACTGTGTCATTAGACTGCAGAGATTTATATTGTCATACATATACATACATACACATACACACATACACACACACACACACACACACACACCTCTGCATGACAAATGTATCTTATCTTAGCTGTTGATGATCAACCAGGGTGGAACAGTGGACTGTTGTAAAAGAAGTGAAAGAGGAAGGCGTCGTATTTGTTCATTGACTTGTGGTCATTGTACAGAGACAGTAAAACCATAAAGAGACTCCCACACAGGGACCCGCTGAGCTAGACCTTGTAGACACTCGATCGATAGATGGATACTCTACACCCTTCTACAAGGTGGGTTTATATATAAAAAATAAAATAAAAATCAAGCAAACCTAATAAAACATCCAAGATTTGAATCAGCTCTACTTCAAAAACAAATTGTAGCTTTCAAGGAATTTGCTTCAGAATTCAGTGAAGGAATCCGTTAATAAGACTATAAATCAATAAAGCATCAAATTCCATTCAGTGTTATCCTTTGTGTGCTGGACCTCACCTGGCAGTTGCACAAGACATTTTGGCCCTTGCACCTGCACCACACCCAGAGATAGATAGATATTTTCACTCAGGTCTTGTCCCCAAGGTGTGGTAGAATACTTGCAATGTTTTATTGATCTCTAATGACATCTGACTATCAGTATTGAAGAGTGGTGTGCAGCATCCCAGCATTTCCGGGGCAGAGTATTATACTGTACAGTATGATACGTGCACGGTCACAGGGATCAGTGAGGTTCACAACTTTATACTGCTGTATGAAGTGCCCAAGGGTAATGACCTAGAAATTAAGGAGGGTTTCAAGAAGTTTCATGACATAGCTTGTACTTTACAATTCTCAGAGATTTCTCTCACTTGCTCAGCCTTGGTTTTGCTGTCACCTAAATAAATAAAAAACTACATCTACTTGGGGGGAGGGGACAACCTGAAAAAAATTTGAAAGGTGCTAATCCCACCAATCCTTTATGCTTAGTACTGTGGATTTGAATTCCTCATTAGAAACATTATCACATTACAAAATCTCATGAATCAACATGAACCTTACTCACATTCAGCCACAAAATTTCAAAAGTGTTAATATTAGTTTAAATATCTTGCATGCAACCTGAAAGCAATTTTTACAACAAGACATACAGAATGTGTCCTCTAAATTGAACATGCTCCATTAAATGCTATGTTAGATCATAGAATATTAATACTAATGTCAGATACATTTAAAACACTCTTATTCTGAGCTTTGTATAATACCATAATTAAGATAAGGACTGAAACAAGACAATTAACTACAGATTAACCTATGCAAACAATGAAGAAATGCAGTAAATCGGTTACAACACTTACCATCTTGGCTGTCTTCAGTGGATAAGACTTCTAGTAGCAAAGCTCTGAAGACAAGTGAGTGGTTTATATACAGTAACACTGGTGGAACTGGGGACGGAGGCAACCAGTGAGAGCGAGTCATTATAAATTGACCAATCACTTAATTCCTCATTTGAAACACCTGATCACTGTTCTGGAGGCTGTTGTGTCACAGTCCATCTGCTGCCTCCTGTATTGTGCCCTTATTTTGGTGATTATTTCCTGTGCGCTCTTGCCTTGTCAGCCACCAGCTTTACCCACAGTGCGTTACAGTTCCCTGGCTTTGCTGCTTCATTTAGTTCCTCTGTGTTTATCTGCCAGGTTGAGACTATTTCAGTTCCCTGTATTTCATGTTTGTCTCATTTGCTGGTCATTGAGGACTTGCATTATTTCCTTATTTAAGCCTAAGTCTCACTGTCTGCATTGGGGTCCTGCTTTAACAAAATGTGACAAGCTTGGGTGGCAATTCCCTGGATCGGGATGTTTTTAAATGTGTTGTACACATCCACTAATTTAAAAACAATCCATCTTCATAAGGAAAGCAACTCAGAACAAGCTACAATAAATGGCTTCCAATTTACAGTATTATTGGCAAGTTTGTCAGTGTTCTGCATTTGTAGGTTCCAGCGAATGATGAAACAAATGTGTACTAATTTCAATAAACATGTCTGAGATGCAGTTTTGTTTGTCAAAGTGACTTGACAGCTGACTTTATTTGATACATGTTTATGAAATATCAACATCTTAAGTAGACAAAATGTAAAGGAATGTTAAACTTTGTGAGGAATACATGTGGTTATAGTGAGCTGACATACATTGTTAATTATACTGGGCTATAATAAGATCCTCTGTATGCAAAAGCATATGCAAGTTTTTTTACAAAGATTAGACAGGACTCAGAACAGGTTTTAGGGGCACTAAAACAATAAATGCACTTAGTTTAAGCTTGTGAGTTGCAGTTCCATCTTAGACAAAATAAACAACGATTATTGGGTAAGTAAGATTGACTTTAAATCAATCTTGGGAATCGGCTATACATTTTAATGGCAGAGGGTGTGGGTGGATTATAAAACAGCAGAATGAACAATGCAACAATGCAGAATGAAGAAATGGTGCTTGTTTAATTTTCCTGGATCCACTTAACTTACAGTGATTACTTTGTACTTGAGCATTTGCAATGCATTTGTGTCTTTATTAGACTGTGGGAGTAGTCCTTCAAAGCAATTAAGCTTAAAGTCACTACTTGGTACAGGTCGAAATCAAAACGGGGTGTTTATGGATTGCGGAACAGGAAATAATATATTTTTATTTTTTAAATAAAGACAGTCGGAATTCATCTGATTTAATCCCATGGGTCGATACACTCCAACACACGAGGTGGCGGTATATGCGAGCTGCCTATAAATACAAAAGAAGAAGAATCAAAAGGAATCTTGAAACAAACCCAAAGTTAGCTTGTCAGCGAGCAGGCAACTTTTGGTAACGTTATGCTTTCATTTCACAAGAGATTTAATTATGTGTTTCGGCCTTATTAAACAGTTTGTATGTCCAGATGTTTGTGAGTGCAGTCGACATGTTATGGCTGTAGGAGTTTATTGAAATAATTGCCAGTTTTAAGAGTTTTTCATTACAACAGCAAGTTCACTATTTGGTTAACGTTAGCATTAGCTAGCTGGCCGTGCTAATCAACCTAACTTTGTCTTCGCTAATGGTTAGCTAGTTCATCCGAGCAAATTGGATAGATTTGTTTATTTATTTGCTGCATTTGCATTTTTGTCTGTTTATAGAAATGGCGTCGGTAACGGCGACAGAACCAACGGTATGTCCGGGTGCAATACCGGCAGCAGAGTCCATAGTGCCCGCTTGTATGTTTGCACCGGACAGTGGGTGTGTGGACGATCCATCCGGAGGAGAAGGCTTTGAAGACGACGAAGTCACAAACTACGACCCTGCTGATCATTTAGACCTAAGCAGCAAGGTGGGCCTCTGTGTAAATTGCACCTAGTTACACTGTATTTGTTGCGTGTAGGCTGTGCACAGCACATTTTGGGTCGGATGTGCCGAACAGCAGAAAGTGACACGTATGTGGCGCTGTCCACGTAACTGCATCCCGGGCAAGCGATATACTTGCTATATGTATTTGTTAGAAGAAACATCAGGCATGAACGGACAAAATAAAACTTTACTGCCTGATTTCCAGAAGAACATAGAGCCTCAAAAGCTACGATTTATTATTATTGTTCATTTAAACTGTGACTTCAACACAGTCACAGAAGATGTGTATGAGTTTGTGTTTGCTCTTGCTTGAACTTCCCAAGTCTGTTGTCTCATCCTCTGTCACTTTGCAGTTGGTCCTAGTGAGTCCAACAGGGGAACAGTATGATTCATTGCTACAACATCTGAGGGAGCGGATAGATGAGGGCTGTGGCGAGACAATCTATGTGGTTGGAATGGGCTCAGGTAAGGACGGCTAACTTTAGGTTTGGTTTTAAAATGTGCTCTGTGTGATTGTATCGCAAAGAGACAGAGCTAAATACAAGGGTGGTCGACCTCCAAGACAGATTGTGATCCAATCACTGAAACCACCTGCTAAAGAGGCCTTGATGCATTTGACTGAATTCCGTTGCCTTGTACTTGTACATAGGTAATGACAGTAACGCTGAATCTAATCTAGTCTAATTTGACCACATATCTTTTGTAGTTTAAATGTTGATGAGTCCTGATGCGTCCCAGACAGGGGCAGTACAGGAAAAAGAAACCTGGAGAGAAACCTCTGATACAAATCCATTATGAAAAGCTTTCATAATACATCCATGTACAAATGTCATGCTTGTTGTCATCTTCTTCGGTTAGGGAGGCTTCTAGCAATTGTCTGGTAACAGTCTGATGTAATAATTACGCCGATGGCCTCTCAATGTTTAAGGGGAAGTGTCACAGCAGTAGCTAAATCTGAACACAAGTGGTCAGCTGGATACCTTGGAGATGTATATGGTGATGTGTCTTGGCTGCCCACTTGTGTTCAGGTCACCAGGATCCATTTTAATACCAAGTCTAAAGGGGTCATGGTCTAGTGAAGAGAATGTCAGCTAAGATGCTGTTGTGCACTCTGTTGCACAGATGAACATGATTTGTCATTTTGAATGAGCATGTGACAAAATCTCTTTAAATGTTGAAAATCTCGAAGGCAGCAGCAGGCAGTGCAGATCAACATTACAAGTTTGGTTTTACATGATTCTGGTGGATCAAATAGTATGTTTCCTTAAACAGTGGAGGGATTCACAAAGTTGTGTTCTGCAAGTCAGGGCGTATGAACTGACAAATCGCTGCATGTAGTTGTAGTTATCTCTTTTGTACAGAGAGACAGTTTTGAATGTGTTAGGAGGAAAAGCAAAGTGTCAATTTAGTAGATGCCTTTATAGAACAAAATGTAAAAGATTCAGTTACCATGATTACCATAATCAATAATTGTAAATTGTGTTAGAGAGAGAGAGCTACACGTACATGGTGAATGAGGAGAGAGAGCAGCATGGTGAGAACAAAGTGAATCAGAGATTAAACACAGCCACACCTCTGCACAACCCTGTCGGAAGGATTTGTGTGAATGCCGCCAAAAAAGGCACACTTCTGTTGGTTCCGCTGTGCGTTGTGTGTCTGTAGTCCTGCCCTGTAACTGGATGCACAAAATGAGAAATTATTGGCCGCCAAGAACACGGACGTCATGATAAGCATCACGTCTCTAGTACCGGGATTCTGGCAGCCGTGTAAAATGAACACAGGAGCAGCTTTTTTAAGTTCAGTGTAAACGGACTAAAATCAAAAAAGCTGCCTTGAAGGATCAAAACACCAGCAGTTTGCTGTGAATTCTGTGAACAAGGGGCTAATGACTGTTGAGTTCTTGTTCACCTTCCCGACCAAGACCCTTCTTGCCTGGTTACTAAGTCTGCAGGAAGAACTGAGTTCAAGTTTTTGAATTTTAATGAATTTGCAAGCATTTCTAAAAGCAGCTTTTCAGTTTGTCATTAAGGGTTACTAAGTGTAGATTGATGAGCCAATTAAAATTGTATTCATTTAAAATTTAATTTGGAAAGGGAGTCAAAATATTCTCTGAATCCACTGTACAGTATATAAAATATGAGCTCAAATCATGACAGTTAAACAGTACATTGTCTTCATTTTTGTATTTTATAAATGGAAATATTTAGAGCTTTATTTTGGCTAGGTATTACATAAAAATGTGAAAGATAAAGGTGATTAAATTTCATCAAAGCTTGCGTGGACCTTTGGTTCTAGACATTCCAAAGAGCATGGTTGAATATGAAAAATGTTGGTTTGTTTGGGGCTTAATGCAGTTGGTCTCAAGGTCAGCTTTGGACAAGTTGTGTTAAGTCATGTTAAGTGATGCCCTGTAACGCTGAGAGGAGGGCAGTCTAACAGAATCACTTGTAGTCAAACATGCCTCAGGGTTGGAATTTAGTTTGGCCAACAAGGTAATAATTTTAGTCTTCCGGTGCATCTGGTGAACAGATCCCATAGATGGCACCAGAGTCTTTCATTATACTAGACGCTGCAGCTGAAACCTCAGAAAATCTACTACTAGGTTTGGAAAGTCAGAGTTTATTTACTACTTTATTACAGGTTGTTCTTAGAATATATAGTTATTGTAGCTTCCTACCCTTGAAGAATGTTGCATTTACACACTTTGTATATGGTGTGTTGTTTTATTACCATATACTCTAACTAGTTGGCTAAAATAGTTATTTAGGAAAAAGCCAAGCCACCCCATTTATTTGCCCCACACACAAACACAAGGGCTTTTGTTGACAAATGTAATTTTTCTTTTTCCCATGTGTGACCCATGTTGCCTGTGGGGGGTCATCCCTCCCTGCTTGGCACAGGGTGCGGTTCAGGTCGGTGTTATGGCTGGCTGACTGGCTGGATGAGAGGCTAGCTGCCTGGCCCTCTCACTTGACTGGCTGTTTCCTGTCAGATATAACAACACTAGTGTGTAGTTGTTTGTCCTGCCCATTCGCAGGGTGAGGCTTTACATTAGCCTTAATATTTGCCAAGTGTGCTAGGAATGCATACGTATGATGTCAGGTGCAATATGCAATAAAAGCACAACTTTCAGTAGCAAAAACTAATTTGAAATCATCCATCAGAGTAGCTCTCTCACCTCCACTTTATAAACCTGCTTTTTATACCCTCCCTTTTCTCCTCTCTGTGTAAATAGATGGAGGTGACTATGGTCTGGATGAGAAGGACATGGAGGCATCAGTAGCCACAGTGCAATCACTTTGTGAACAGATCGACGCTGACCTAATCCTGCTGAGGGAGAGGGCAGACGCTGGTGGAAAGATTCGGGACTATCTCATCCGGCGGCGTGTGGGTGAACAGGATTTCCTGGAAGTCAGCATCAAATGACTGGGAAGTAAAAAAAAAAATTAAAAAAAAGAATAAAGAGAATTTTTGCATACCTCATCAGCTACTGTTAAAACGCCCGTGAGTATGGCACATTGCTCGTGCACCGTGTTGTCTGATTACATTGCAAATCAAAAGCACTTAGTTTTTACAAACAAGCCACACTGCAAAGTGGAGTGTAGAGACAGCTAGAGATGCTAAATTGTTTATAAATAGAAATAAATGATTCATTATCAGTCAGTCTCATCTGGATGATATTCATAGGTTGCACTTGGGTGTTCATATGAAATAGTTGGATCAAAAGAGAGCTAGAGAGAGAAATACACACCCTGAGTGTAAGTTGTAAGTCTGTCCTTTCTGTAAATATCTTCCATCCTGTATTGTCAATACAAACTTGTCTTATTTACTTATCATGCAAAACAAGTTGGATGAAAGATTTTACTTATCCATGGTTTCTCAAAACAGGCCCATAGATCAGTGGTAAAAATGAAAACACATATGGATATGAATAATAACTGATGAAATTTCAGCAGCCCTTTTTGTGACAGTGACACATTATGATTTATTACAACAACCCTTTGTTGTAAGTGACCTTGCTGTCGTGAATGGAAATTCTATTTTGACATGTCTTTTCCATTTGAGTGTGTGGTGTGTTATGTGGATTTTGTTTATGTTGGGGTGGAATTGGATTTTGAGAGACGATAGATATTGAATTTGATTTAATTGAACAGTTGTTTATACTGTGTAGGTTGTGTTGAGCATACAGCAACATCCTGTTAAAATATAAATACCAGAGGAGCAGTCAATCATTGATAGAACAGAATAACAGACAACAGACGTATTTATTTCACCGCATTGTTACATGTTGTATCAACATAACATCAGTATTTCTTTGTTCCCCTCTCCTCCTTCATCTTGGTTACAGAGTAGCGGTTGTAGGGAACGTGGATGCTGGGAAGAGCACCCTGCTGGGTGTTTTGACCCATGGCGAACTGGACAATGGTAGAGGCTTCGCTCGCCAGAAACTCTTCCGACACAAACATGAAATGGAGAGTGGCAGGACCAGCAGTGTGGGCAATGATATCCTGGGCTTCGATCACGAAGGACAGGTGAGCTTCAAAGATGTGATGTAACGCTTACGGCAGTAAACTGGGATGAGCACACATTGAAAACTTGCACAGGGAGGAGGAAAGTGTAGATAAGGCATTTCAAATGCAACCCCCGATCACAGAAGTTCCATTTCCACAGGACTGACAGACAACAGAGATACATCTTTGTTCTGAGGATGTGAGCATTCATGGAAACTTGAAAATGATGTCTGACAAAAACGTAAGGGTTACACACAACAGCTATACCAAAAACATGTTATTAATTTAATGACATTGTATTCAGTTTCAGTTGTGGGGCAGCTGTGGCTCAGTGGGTAGAGCAGGTCATCCCCTAACTGTAGGGTTGATGGTTCAATCCTCTCAAGTTGCTCCCAGTTGTATCACCGGTGTGTGAGCGGTTGGGTGAATGGACAAATAATGTGAAAGCACTTTGAGTAACCTTCAGTGGGTAACAAAAAAAGCCAAGCACAATACAAGTATACAGTATGTGCATTTATTATTTATCTCTTTATTTAATTTACCTGGATTTGTTGATTCATCAAAGTGTGGCAAAACTGTTAAAGTTGATACCACTAGGAGCAAAAGATGGAGTAGAGGGGGAAGTTTGCTTGAGACTGAAATGTAGAGTCTTAAAGTCTGTCACATTACTGACAAGTGTTGATGATAAAGGTCCTCCTCCACCTGAATGTTTAGGGTGTGACCAAGAACAGATATCTTCAGGCTGACAGTCCAGGCTTAATCCTGCCTGACAGCAGAGATTCTCCATGTAAACACCATTTTTAAACTTGCCATCAAATGTGTCACATCAGTTTCTCTTCATGCAAGAGCTTAAGCCTGAAAAGAAGTGAAATTGAAATTGGTTTAGGTGACTTGTGCAGTTTTCATTTTCACTCACTTCATTCAGTAAATCGTTTTCCCTTCCCTCTCTCTGCCTCTGTTCCTTTAGGTGGTGAACAAGCCAGACAGCCACGGTGGTGGCCTAGACTGGACCAAGATCTGTGAGAAATCCTCAAAGGTCATCACGTTCATTGACCTGGCTGGCCATGAGAAGTACCTCAAGACCACTGTGTTCGGCATGACAGGACACCTTCCTGATTTCTGCATGCTAATGGTGAGAGTGGGGGGTGGGGGGAAGGAAGTCGTGCTGATGTGCTGTTTGTTGCTTAGACGGTTAAAAAGAACGCCCTCTCCTGTCTCTCTCCTCTCAGGTTGGCAGTAACGCTGGCATCGTTGGCATGACCAAAGAGCATCTGGGTCTGGCGCTGGCCCTGAATGTGCCTGTGTTTGTAGTGGTCACAAAGATTGACATGTGCCCAGCCAACATCCTGCAAGGTGAGGAGACATGCCACTGTAATGCTTATTTCACTCATAGACCTATTAGAGTTGGGTGCTACAGTAACAAGTTTCACATCTCCAACATCTGCCAGAGTAAAATATGTTGTTGTTAAATTAGTTCAGACTGCAGACACTATGATAAATCACTCAGCATTGTGAATGTCTTGCATTGTAAATTCAACAATGACATCAAAACTACAACACAGCCATAACATATTTAAGGTTTTGTTGTTTAAAAAATGCCTGTAGACACTAATTTGTACTAAACACCACTTGGCTGTGTGTTAATAATGTTAATGTAGTCTTATGAAATGCAAGGCTTACTCATAATAAAAGCTTCTCAGGGAAGGAAAGGAATTGTACCCTGTCAACTGCTGGAAGGTTTTAATGTGAAACAAAAGGAGGAAGAGTTGAGTGTGCATAAATAGCAAACGGCTGCAAGAGCAAATGGGAGCAGTTTAGAGTCTGTTTATTAGTCTCCATAATAAAACATGATTAAATATACTTTCAAAACAGGAGAAGTTACAAGTAGAGGGCTATCTTCATTAAAGACAGCCTTTTTGTGGAATGTCCTTATTGTGAAGTTGGTCCTTTTTAAATCCATCTCTTGGTGAATCGTGTTAATGTTCAGTAGTTTGTGATATTGTGTGGTGTAATAGCTGCTTTTGTTTTGTCATATGAAGCCTTTTTTTCTGTGTTTATCTACAGAGACGTTAAAATTATTACAGAGGTTATTAAAATCACCGGGTTGCAGGAAAATCCCAGTGTTGGTCCAGAACAAGGATGATGTCATTGTCACAGCCTCCAACTTCTGTTCTGAGAGGTAAGAGCAAACATGTGTCTGACAGAGGGATGCAAAGACACAAAGTCCAGAGACACATGACGTGTGATTATTCACAAAAAAAAAATCTGTTTTTATTTGCATGTTAAAATGGTTCTGGGGATAAGCTGCTAAAACAAGCCTTCAGAATAACTTGATCTACACTATTTTGAAGAATTATTAAAAATTCAGTTCAGTTTGTGTAGAAGATTTTCAGTAGCAATTAAAACATCAACTCCCCATCCTGTTACAGCAACAAGTGGTCTTTTAGGCTCACAAGACAGGTGCATTGTTATGAAAACATCTTTCCTCTGGCATCTTTAGTTTTAGTGAAATGTAGGCTTAAGTCTCAGATTTAGGGAAATATTCTTGTTGGTTTAACAATCACTGTGCTGTCCTGCTTCTTGACACTCAAGTCCCAAGTTTTAATATCTTTATTTGGTACTGTGTTTTCATCTTTTAATTACTGTGCTGGTGAAACTGAGGAGGGTATTCTTTAATCATCATGCTTCCTCTGTTCTCCTCTGTCATCCCCTCTCTTTGCAGGATGTGTCCAATCTTCCAGATTTCAAATGTGACCGGGGAGAACATGGACCTCTTGAAGATGTTCCTCAACCTCCTCTCCTCGAGGACCACCTTTAGCAATGACGAGCCTGCAGAGTTCCAAATAGACGACACATACTCAGTACCAGTACGTAAGACAATTCGCACTCAGTTGTACACTCCTAGATGTTTAATTTACTCATCACTGTTTTTTTTAACACATGAACTATTTGCTATCAGGGTCAACTAGAACATATGGAATGGCTGACAATAGTCCAGATGTTAGAGACAACAGCAGTTTGAGAGTCACTGCTGCTTCATGTTACCACTGATGCAAAAGCCAAAGTGTGTCTCAGCAGCAGCAGTGTTCCATGTATAAACATTCAAAATACTGAATTTGTACAGTCACAATAAAAATCCTGTATGTAATTGTGAATATGACTTCAGTGACAGCAGTTTGTTTCACAAAACTAGGCTTTAACAGCTTTTAACAGCAGTGCAGAATACAGCATTAGCAGTATTAAAAATGCTTCTTGAGTGAAGAGCAGTGGCAGTTGACACAGTGGTGACTTGAACTATTGGCATTTCTCACAGAAAAGACAATTTGTAGAGAAAGTGTAATCTCGAGGTTTCGTACTATAGAATAGACGACACCAACACTAAGGGAAAAAGAGCCGGACGTAAGCTGATGACGTCGATCTTCTTTTGGCAGGGTGTGGGCACAGTAGTTTCAGGGACTACATTACATGGAGTGATACGGCTTAACGACACGCTGCTCTTAGGCCCAGACCCACTCGGCATCTTCATCCCCATCGCTGTTAAATCCATCCACCGTAAGAGGATGCCTGTCAGAGAGGTTCACGGTGGCCAGACGGCATCGTTTGCACTCAAAAAGGTTAGTGGGAAATATTAATCAATATTAGTGAGAGACTAGCTGGATATAAAAAAAACAAGTATTTTCAGAATCAGAATCTGCTTTATTGGCCAGGTGTGTTGGACACACGAGGAATTTGACTCAGGTACATCGGCTCTCAATGTGCAAACAGCAAACCAGCATAAGGCTGTGTAATATAACAAAAATAAGCAGTATTTACAAGCAACAGAAAGTGCAAAATGTACAGACAGTAACAATGCAGACAACAAAGGAATGTTCTTTGTAATGAGATAAATAGGGATAAAAATAGAGTACTTAAAACAGAGTATTAGAGACCTGTAGGAGTCTGTATAATCTGTACAGTGTATATATTTACAGGTATTGCACTGAGGTTTATTGTCCAATCATATGGCCATTGGTTAAGTGTTCATCAGAGTGACAGCCAGGGGGAAGAAACTGTTTCTGTGCCTGGTTGTCTTAGTGCACAGTGACCTGTAATGCCATCCAGAGGGGAGGAGTTCAAACAGATTGTATCCGGGGTGTGAGGGGTCTGTAGTGATACTCTCCGCCCTCCTTCTTCTACAATTAGTTACAGTTGGAGTTCTCAACTAAATTTGATATTTTTGTTGGAGAGGGAGGTGCTGGTGTAGCGTGGTGCGGGTTTGTAGTAAACGTATTGCCACTCTAACCAGCAAACTACCAGCCACAAGGCTAACAGCACAGTACACACCTTCCACTGTCACCTTAAAGCCATGCACTGCCATTAAGAGTGCAGGAAAACTAGTTAGCAAGCTAGGGTAGGAAGAGAAATGGGGTAGGAGTGATCCTGAAGCAGGAGCTTGTGAGGAATGTTTTAGAGGTGAAAAGAGTGTCAGACAGGGTGATCAGTTTGAAGTTGGAAATTGAAGGGGTAATGTTGAATGTAGTCAGTGGTTATGCTCCACAAGTAGGGTGTGAGTTAGAAGAGAAGGAGAGATTCTGGAGTGAGTTAGATGAGGTGATGGAGAGTATTCCCAGAGGGGAGAGAGTGGTGATTGGGGCAGACTTCAACGGACACGTTGGTGAGGGGAACAAAGGGGATGAGGAGGTGATGGGCAGGTTTGGTGTTAAGGGAAGGAATCTAGAAGGACAGATGGTGGTGGACTTTGCTAA